TGCCTCAGCCTCCTGAGTAGCTGGGATTACAGGCACGCACCACCATGCCCAGCTAATTTTTTGTATTTTTTTTTTAGTAGAGACGGGGTTTCACCATGTTGACCAGGATGGTCTCGATCTCTTGACCTCGTGATCCACCCGCCTCGGCCTCCCAAAGTGCTGGGATTACAGGCTTGAGCCACCGCGCCCGGCCTCCTTTCTTCCTTTCTTTTCTTTTCTTTCCTTTCCTTTCTTTCTTTCAACAGAATCTTGCTCTGTCACCCAGGTTGGAGTGCAGTGGCATGATCGTGGCGGAAGTTCAGATTCCTTACCTGGGCAAGGTGGCTCAGCACTTTTCGAGGCCAAGGCAGGAGAATTGCTTGAGGCCACCTGGGCAACACAGCAAGACTCTGTCTCTAAAAATAATAATAATAATTAGTTGTCAGTGATGCTTCAAGCCTGTGGTTCCAGGTACTCAGGAGACTGAGGTGGGAGGATCACCTGAGCCCAGGAGGTCAAGGCTACAGTGAGCCATGATTGCACCACTGTACATCAGCCTGGGCAAAAGAGCAAGACCTTGTCTCAAAAACAAAACAAAACAAAACAACAAAGAAGTTCACATTCCAGATTGTGACCTTGGGCAAGTCACTTAACCTCTTTGTGTCTCAGTGTCCTCATCTATAAAATAGGGAAATAACCCCAACCTCACAGGGCTGTAGTGAGGATTAAACGAGTACTTGGCACCTAGTCAGTGTATGTAAGTGTTGAGTGGCTATTATAATTTGTGATATTTGTAGGACAGAAATCTGTTTAGAAGAGGAGATGGTCAGCACCGGGCGCAGTGGCTCACATCTGTAATTCCAGCACTTTGGGAGGCCGAAGCAGGTGGATCACGAGGTCAGGAGTTCAAGACCAGCCTGGCCAAGATGGTGAAACCCCGCCTCTGCTTAAAAATACAAAAATTAGCCAGGTGTGGTGGCACTCACCTGTATTCCCAGCTACTAGGGAGGCTGAGGTAGAGAATTGGTTGAACCCGGGAGGCGGAGGTTGCAGTGAGACTAGATCGTGCCACTGTACTCCAGCCTGGGTGACAGAGCAAAACTCTGTCTCAAAAAAAAAAAAAAAAAAAAAGGAGATGATCTTCTTTTATGAGACACTGCAACCTCTGCCTCCTGGGTTCAAGCAATTCTCCTGCCTCAATCTCCCAAGTAGCTGGGATTACAGGCATGCACCACCACCCCCGACTACTTTTTAATATTTAGTAGAGACAGTGTTTCACCATGTGGTCAGGCTGGTCTCAAACTCCTAACCTCAGGTGATCCACCCGCCTCAGCCTCCCAAAGTGCTGAGATTACAGGCGTAAGCCACCACGCCCAGCCCAGGTTAGACATGCTTAGTCACAGGATGAGATAGGAGGTCAGAACAAGAAACAGTTCACAAAGACCCTGCTGATAAAACAGGATGTGGCAAAGAAGCTGGCTAAAACCCACCAAAACCAAGATAGTGACGAAAGTGACCACTGGCCATCCTCACTCCTTATTATGCACTAATTATAATGTATTAGCATGCTAAAAGACACTCCCACCAGTGCCATGACAGTTTACAAATGCCATGGCAGGCCGGGCTCGGTGGCTTGCGCCTGTAATCCCAGCACTTTGGGAGGCCGAGGCGGGTGGATCATGAGGTCAAGAGATCGAGACCATCCTCGCCAAAATGGCGAAAACCCGTCTCTACTAAAAATACAAAATTAGCTGGGCGTGGTGGCGCACGCCTGTAGTCCCAGCTACTCGGGAGGCTGAGACAGGAGAATTGCTTGAACCCAGGAGGCGGAGGTTGTAGTGAGCCAAGATCGTGGCACTGCACTCTAGCCTGGCATCTGGCGACACAGTGAGACTCTGTCTAAAATATATAAATAAATAAATAAACAAATGCCATGGCAACATCAGGAAGTTCCCCTATATGGTCTAAACAGGGGAGGGACCCACAGTTCCAGGAAATCCCCACCTATGAATTATCCATCCCTTGTTTAGCATATAATCAAGAAATGGAAATGGTCTTCTTAATGCCTCTCAAATTATTTCCAAAAACCCTCTCCTCATTTCATGAAAGCCCACCCTGGGCCGGGCGCGGTGGCTCAAGCCTGTAATCCCAGCAATTTGGGAGGCCGAGGCGGGTGGATCACGAGGTCAAGAGATCGAGACCATCCTGGTCAACATGGTGAAACCCCGTCTCTACTAAAAAAATACAAAAAATTAGCTGGGCATGGTGGTGCGTGCCTGTAATCCCAGCTACTCAGGAGGCTGAGGCAGGAGAATTGCCTGAACCCAGGAGGCGGAGGTTGCGGTGAGCCGAGATCGCGCCATTGCACTCCAGCCTGGGTAACAAGAGCGAAACTCCGTCTCAAAAAAAAAAAAAAAGAGTGAAACTCCGTCTCAAAAAAAAAAAAAAAAAAAAAAGAAAGCCCACCCTGGTCAAGATTGGGCTTTCATAGGCCAGGAGGACCGGTAAATCCCCTCTGGATTAGGGTGACTGAGCAGGGCTTTTGAAATGTAAATGAGGATTGTGTTTTGATTCTGCCTGTTCCTTGGGAAGCACCCTTTCCCCTGAGAAGTGGTCCGGAAAGCCCTGAGGTTGGGTGGAGGGACATGGAGGAGGTGGCCGCTGGTCGTGGAACCCTTACCTGCAGAGCTGGAGAAACCTGTGCCATCACCAAGTCCAACCTCCCATCCTGCAGATGGAGAAACCAACAGCCTTACCCTCTTGTGAGTCCTTACGCCCTCTGAGACTCAGTTTCCCTGTCTGCAAAGAGGAGTTGTCACCTGCACTCTGCCCCGCTGCTGGGCATGTGCAGGGGGCAGGGAGGGTGAGACGGTGAAGCCCTGGAGAGAAGTGCTGTCTGTGTAGAAGTTCCCTTCGCAGGCCCAGGGCTAATCGGGCAGCACAAGTGGCCAAGGCCCATGCCTGGGGTCAGGCAGGCCCCGCCAGGCTGCTTGCCCTTGACCCATGCCTCTGCCTGGCCCTCCCATAGCGGGGCAGGCCAGCCCAGTCCAACCTAGTGGCAGTATGAGCTGAGTGGCTGTGGTCCCCCCTGGAAACTGGTTCCCAGCCAGCCCCTCCTCTGTGTCCTTTCTTGCATTATATATGTGCTGCCCCAATTTCTAGGAATTTATACACTCTGGGGACCAAACTCATCATGGGAATAAAAACTCAATTCTTGGCCAGGTGTGGTACCTCACGCCTGTAATTCCAGCACTTTGAGAGGCCGAGGCAAGTGGATCATGAGGTCAGGAGATTGAGACCATCCTGGCCAACATGGTGAAACCCTGTCTCTAAAATTAATAAAATAAAAAACTCAGTTCTTCACTAAAATAATTTCCTCAGCTGACACACTTTGTACAGACATTGGAATCTTAGAAATCCGGAGTCTACTATTCACTGGTGGAGTGATATTGAACAAACTTTGGCTCTAGGAGCCTCAGTTTCTCCACCAGTAAAGTAGGAAGCCTCATCACTGCTTGCAGGCTTGTTAAGATTTACTTAATCCAGCCATTTACTCCACAAATCCTTATTGAGCGCCTAACTGCACCATACATTGAGGATACAGATTTGAATACATGATAGACACAGAGGGGAGAGTCCCCTTTCCAGGCATTCAGAGAGATAATGGACCAACAGTTACCCCCAAATCCATGTTACTGATTGTGTTGAGCGATACAGAGGAAAAGCACCCATGAGTAGTGGCATGAGCTCAGTGTTGAAGGGTAATGGGTGTGATCTAGTTCATGGACTCTAAAACACTATTGATCATCCACACTGTTATTCTAGATAACACTGAGAGAAAAACCGCCAATTAACCTTAGAAGTGTTATTTTGTGCTTACCGAAAGAGCTCTTTTGACCTTCTACAGCCCCAGAGAAGTTTTCTCTCTCCCACCTAATTTAAAACAAAGAAGGATCTGTCATGGCAGAGATCAGAATAAAATAGAATCCATGAGAAATCTACTTTGTCCTGCAGGAAGCTTTGCTGGTATAAAAGTCCTGAGTTTGTGGTTGGTAGGCTCTGGGGCTCTGATTCAGTGGAAAGAAGAGGCAGGACAAAAGGGTCCTGTGGACCAGCCTAGGGAGAAGGGTGGGGAAGGGGTCCTGGCTGAGCAGTCACTGCTGGGCTTAGCTTCTGGGTTGGCCGGAAGGAGAAGAGGCAAATGCCAAGCTGGGGGATTATTAGACATCATCTCAAAAATGCATCCTGCATCCAACCTGGCCAACATGGTGAAACCCTGTCTCTACTAAAAATACAAAAATTAGCTGGGCATGGTGGCGTGTGCCTGTAATCCCAGCTACTTGGGAGGCTGAGGCAGGAGAATCACTTAAACCCAGGAGGTGGAGGTTGCAGTGAGCCGAGACGGCGCCACTGCACTCCCACCTGGTGACAGAACAAGACTTCATCTCAAAAATAAATAAATAAAATAAAATGCATTCTTTAGGCAGAAATGTAAAAGGTGCGTCTTCCCCAGAAGCACCATTTTCCATGAAAAGGATTAGGGCACTTTAGAGAATAGCTAATTCCAAGGTTGGTTGGCTCAGGGAAAATACAATTGAGCCTGGATTATCTTGGGCTAGAAAGTGAGGAGGTGCTAAAAAATAATAATAATAAAGGCAGGTACAGTGGTGCACGTCTGTAGCCGCAGCTATTTAGGAGGCTGAGGCAAGAAGGCTGCTGAGGCCGGGAGTTCCAGGCTGTAGGGCCCTATCATCACACCTGTGAATAGCCGCGGCACTCCAGCCTGGGCAACACAGTGAGATCTTATCTCTAAAAAATATATAAATAAAGAATAAAATAGGCAGGCGTAGTGGGGTGTGCCTGTAATCCCAGCACTTCAGGAGGCTGAAGCGGGCAGATCACTTAATCCCTGGAATTTGAGACCAGCCTCAACAACAAGGTCTGTATATCAGACAATAGAAACTCGTCTCTACTAAAAACCCTGTCTCTACAAAAAAAAATAAAAATGAGTTGGGCCTGTTGGTGCACACCTGTAGTACCAGCTACTTAGAAGGCTGAGGCAGGAGATTCAGGCTTACTTTTTTTTTTTTTTTTGAGACAGAGTCTTGCACTGTTGCTCAGGCTGGAGTGCAATGGCGTGATCTCGGCTCACTGCAACCTCCACCTCCAAGTTTCACTCGATTCTCTTGCCTCAGCCTCCCAAGTAGCTGGGATTACAGGTGCACACCACCACACCCAGCTAATTTTTTGTATTTTTAGCTGAGACAAGGTTTCACAAGATTGGCCAGACTGGTCTTGAGCTCCTGACCTTGTGATCCACCCACTTCGGCCTCCCAAAGTGCTGGGGTTACAGGCATGAGCCACGGCACCCAGCCTGGGCTTACTAAAGCCTCAACCTCCTGGGCTTAAGTGATCCTCCCACCTTAGCCTCCCAAGTAGCTGGGACTACAGGTGTGCACCACCACACTTGGTGTGTGTGTGTGTGTGTGTGTGTGCAGAGATAGGGTCTCACTGTATTGCCCAGGCTGGTCTTGAACTCCTGGGCTCAAGCAATCCTTCCACCTCAGCCTCCCCAAGAGCTGCGATCACAGGTGTGACCCACTGTGCTCACCGTGTTTCTTCTTTTGCTGTAAAGGACATTAGCAGGGTGGTTGAGATGGTTGAATAATATCTGTACATCAGACAATAGAACCATATGTAGCCATGCTAACTTTCCGATTTCAATAAATGTACTGTGGTTATTACATAAAAGAATGTCCTTGTTTTGAAGAAGAATATATCAAAGTATTTAGAGATAAAGGCGCTTATCTGTCACCTACTCTTAAGCAGTTTAGAAAGAAAAGACAGAAAGAAAGAGAAGAAAAAGAGGCCAGGTGCAGTGGCTTACACCTGTAATCCCAGAACTTTGGGAAGCTGAGGTGGGCAGATCACCTGAGGTCAGGAGTTTGAGACCAGAGCCTGGCCAACATGCCAAAACCTCATCTCTACTAAAAATACAAAAATTAGCCAGGCATGGTGGCACATGCCTGCAGCGCCAGCGACTGGGGAGGCTGAGGCAGGAGAATCACTTGTAGGTGGAGGTTGCAGTGAGCCAAGATCACACCAATGCAATCCAGCCTGGGTGACAGAGCAAGACTCTGTCTCAGAAAAAAAAAAAAAAAGAAAAAAGAAAAAGAATGAGTGAACACACACATACACCATACCATACATATGAAGAGAGAATTTGATTTTCAAAAGACAAAAGAGAGAGATTGATAAAGTGGCGGTATGCTGAAAATGTTTAACAACCAGCTCTCTCGGGGCAAAAATGTCGTGATACCAATTTCTGTGGTGTACATACTCTCCGCGGCCAATTTGAAGCTGGTGCTGTGAAGTCACTGAAGAGGGAGTTGGGAAGCAGTTGCACAAAGATGGCTCCAGCGTGCATCATGCCTGTACAAACGCAAGCGCGGTGGAAAGCTAACATTTGCTGAAACAGAGCAAATGGAATATGAAGATTATTTGTATTATTTTTTGCAACTTTTATGCAGTCTGAAATTATTTCAAATAAAAAGTTTGGGGGTTCCTTTAGTGCATATCTTGTAACTGATAAGATACAGTAAATGAACTGGGGAAGGAGTACGTGAGCATTTCAGGTAGAGGCACCTGCCTTGACCGAGCAAAAGCCTGAGGCTGAAAGAGGCAATTCATTTGAAAAACAACTACACAAACAAAGCAAGTCTGGGTGACTAGGAGCAGAGCAGCTTGGAGCAAAGCAGAGCAAGGTGAGCAGAGAGGTGGGCTGGGGCCGGGACAGAGGGTCTGTAAGCCACCGCTGAGGTTTGGGTCCCTCAGGGAGAAGCCATCGAAGTGCTTTAGGCAGTGGGTGCATGGAATGTGGCCTTATTTGGTTTATCACTCTGACCCCTGACTCTCAATCAGCAGTGGTCATTAATACTGCCTTATCAGGTCTACTGTCTGCTGTCACTTTCCCCAGGGGCCCTTTGCTCAACTGGAGTTGACAGGGGGCAGGGTGGGGTAGGGGCCTTGGCCACAGGTTGCCAGGTGAGTCCAGAGCTTCTGGCACAGCCTCACTTTCTATCCTCCCCACCCCCCTCAGACCTATTTGTAAGCCACAAAATAAGTGTGAGGAAGTCCAAGTCTGATGTCCACCCAGGACTCTGCCCTCCCTGCTTAGCTCAGCCCTGATCAGCCCTAAGCTGGTATGCCCTGGACTATTAACCAAGCCCACTAACCTTGGTGAGAGGAGACTTGACTTGGCTACCCTCCCCTCTGCACACCAGAGACCCACAGACCCACCTCCTCTCTCATCAGCTTCCTCCCACCCCTCTTGGTTTCTAATCAACCTCTTACTCTGGGAGTCCCAGAGCCCAGTGGGGCCTGGAGAGGGTTAAGTTCAAGGTGGAATGAATGGGCCGTTTGACAGAGATCTCCCAGGGCAAGCTCCAGGCCTGGTACAGCTTGAGAGGCTACGGGCTTCCTTTTTCCCAGATGAATCCCTGCTCTGTGTGTCTGTACCTATTCGCCCACCCCTAACACGTCCTGGGGCCCCACATAACAGGAGTGGCCTGGATATGTACACACAGCGCTCTGGCCAGCTCCTCCTGTGCGGAGAGCACAAACCCAGCCCAAAGTCATGAGCATTAGCCGCATGCCACGTATTCCACGGGGTCTTGTGATGCATTCCTCATTCAGCCGACTGCTAGAGAAGCTCTGTGAGTGGGCACAGTATTAGGTCCATATTGCAAGTGAGGCTTGAAAGGTTTCCAGGAGTAGGCTAGGTGCGGTGGCTCACGCCTGTAATCCCAGAACTTTGGGAGGCCAAGGTAGGTGGGTCATAAGGTCAAGAGATCGAGACCATCCTGGCTAACACAGTGAAACCTCATCTCTACTAAAAATGCAAAAAATTAGCCAGGTGTGGTGGCAGGCACCTGTAGTCCCAGCGACGCAGGAGAATTGCTTGAATACAGGAGGTGGAGGTTGCAGTGAGCCAAGATCGTGTCACTGCACTGCAGCCTGGGCAACAGAGCGAGACTCCATCTCAAAACAAAAAAAAAAGAAAAGAAAGAAGAAAGAAAAGTTTCTTGGAGTATCCAAGTTCACATAGCTGACCCAGGGATTTAACTCAGGCCCTCTGACCTCCAAAGCCTGCATTTCTGCCCACAGTACCACCCTGCCTCTGTCTGGCACAAGTTGCCCCTGTGCCACTGGCTCTCAGCCTGGGCATCAGTGCTGTGGGCATCCAGGCCATGTGGACAGGTATACTGACGGTCCTGTGCACCAGGAAGGGGTTAATTGGGATACCCTCAGCAAGCTCTGGTTTGGTGACGGTTGCTATGGCAACCGCGTGGTTTAGGGAAGAGGGAAGCCAGCACAGCAGGAGCTTCTGAATCACTGCATGTACAGCCTATATGCTTATTCTGCAATGAAACCCTCTCAGCATCTTCTGGGACTATACATGGCCGCCAGGGATGGCTGCGGCAGGCAGGGGTGAAGGCAGGGGTTCCCTGAGCAGGCAGAAGCTGGGAGACCTTGGCAAGGCTGAGGCCTCTCACCCAACAGCTCTCACCAGCACAGTGCAGGGAGCCTTTTCCACCAGGAAGGCCTGGAATTCTGCTTTCAGCTGCAGCTCCCCAGACCAGTTGAAAACAGGAAAGGGCAAATATTTGGGGTCAAATGGAATCAAGCAATCATTCACTAGTCACTGACTTATTCATTCACCAGATAGGTATTGCTTGCTGACAACGCATTGATCGCTGTGCTGGGGGCTGTGGATTGGGCTGTAGCTGGAGCCAGACAGGCCCTGCACCCATGGAGAGTCCCTTCCAGGGAGCCAGAAGTCCCCACCACATGCCCCAGCTTGGGCAAGTCCCTCTCCTTTGCTGAGCATGTCTGTAAAAGGGGACCCACAGTGCCCACTTTGCAGGGGTGCAGCCTGGATGAGATCACATATTTGTGAATGCCCAACACATAGTGAGCCAAATACTCAGACATGACAAAAATGCCTATAGGCTTCTCACCTCTCCCTTCAGCAACAGAAGGTGCCAGACAATGATAAAACTCATGAGTGAGGAGCCCCAGGCTCTGGATCCTGGAGGCTTACTGTGAGCCAAATCTCCAGACCCAGCCAGCTAGACAGATCCAGCTCTTCCATCACTGTGCAGGGACCTTGGCTTCCATTTGCCCATGTGTAATGCGGGTGATCCTCCAGTCCTTATCTACAGTAATGAACCTGAGCTGATGGGGAGCAGCCAACTGGGCGCTTGACCATTCTGTTCCACCATCTGAGCCACCCACAGGTCAGAAGAGCCCACGGCCGCCGGATGATAAGACCCCAGTCCTGGTCTTCCCGTCCAGCCCAATTTGTTTTTGGCCTTGAACATGGAACGCAGTAGCTGTCTGTTGATTTGATTCAAGTTTGATTTTCCAAGCCCCACCCAGGACTCTGCCCTCCCTGCTCAGCTCAGCCCTGATCAGCCGTAAGCTGGTATGCCCTGGACTATTCAGCAAGCCCACTAACCTTGGTGAGAGGGGACATACCTCTGACCCTCCCGTCCCCACACCAGGCCAGTTTTCATGGAAGTACCCCCTGGGTTCCTCAAGGTCAGCCCTAGAACCACCCTCCTTTATTTATTTATTTGTTTATTTATCTATTTTTGAGATGGAGTCTCACTCTGTTACCCAGGCTAGATCTTGGCACACTGCAACTTCCGCCTTCCGGGTTTGAGTGATTCTCCTGCCTCGGTCTCCTGAGTAGCTGGGATTATAGGTGCACGCCACCATGCCAGGCTAATTTTTATAT